CAGAGCAGCTGTGGGGGGCGGTGCAGGTCGGGGTCCAGAGCAGCTGTGGGGGGCGGTGCAGGTCGGGGTCCAGAGCAGCTGTGGGGGGCGGTGCAGGTCGGGGTCCAGAGCAGCTGTGGGGGGCGGTGCAGGTCGGGGGTTCAGAGGCCTGCATTCTATCTGGGCCTGACCACTAGCTCACTCTGTCTACCCTCTGGACCTCAGTTTCCCCAAATGTACTAGCAGATAACTCCACAACTGAGCAGCTGCCATTTTCAGTCCCCAGAGAGATTTAGAGGGAGGAAGAAGAGGACCTAAGCAGGGAGCAGCCTTGCGGACCTGGCAGCTGTCACGGGATCCCAGCAGAGTGCACACCAGGGAGCATTCCAGCCAAGGTGTGAGGGTTCAGTGGAGGACTTCCCCTCCCCCTCTTCACTGGAGCCCTGGGAGTTCAGGAAACAGAGGGACCAATGTTCACTGCACCTCCTCTGTGGTGCCAGGTGCTGTGTGAGGCCATGCAGGTGTCCTTCCTCAGAAAGCCGCTCCTGGTGCTGAACTGGGCATGAATTCGAGCCCCATGAACATGACAGTTTATGGTCCTCACCCAGTGTGTTTAGTTACATGCCCAGCCCCGTAGCGAGCCCATAGGAAGTGCTCAGTAAGTGACTATTGTGATGGTCCCAAACACTGTGATGCCCACAAAATAGCTGTCCCCTCCCACCACCCCCAGCTCCTGAGCTGGACCAAAGTAATTTTGACTTCACAAAGCTGTCTTCTTACCACTTTGTTGATCATAAGCTCAAACCATATAAAATTGCTCAGAGTTGATTATGTTTGACAGACACAACGGCAGTTCATAAGGCTCAGCCAAATACTTATGGATTAAATCGTGAAGTGTGTTTTAGGTCTGCAGAGCCTAAAATGTATAATAATAGTCCACCCCTTTTCCAGATTCCAAATTCAGAGTGGGCTAGATTCCTACCCCGGAGCCTCAGAACCTCGCCATAAGCCTGCTGGGCACTTAGCCAAGTTCAGCGTACCAGGGGGGCAATGCGGGTTGACAGTTGTGAGTACGTGAAACACAGAGCGTATTCTTATACTATTATTTATTATGTTATTTACCATACAAACTATTGCAAACCTACTTTTGCCCCACCCTCATTAGTTGAGCTTGAGCTCCCTTCGAAGAGTTCGTTTCCGGGTATAAGAACAGCTCCCTGTTGCTTGGGATCCCCAGCCAGGGAAGTGGCCCTGGGAACAGAAGGAGTAATCAGTCACCCATTTGAGGTGATGGCACCCGCTGTCATTTCTGAAGCACCTTCATTTATTTCCATTATTTTATGGACTCCCCCACACCTCAGGGAGAACAGGACACAGACACTTCCCCCTTATGAGTGGACCGCAGTGGGCTGTCCTCCCCACGCGCACACGGCGGTGTGCTGCACAGGGCAGCCCTGTGTGGCTTCTCCCCGAACAGACAGCGGTGTGGCCATAACAGGTTGTTAGAAGAGGGACGAAAGCACTGTTCTGTTCGTTATTTCCCTCCCTCTCTTCTGTCTTCCTGGCCCTGAGAATTTATACAAACACCACTGTGATTAAACACATCAGTGAGTGTCTCAGAAGCAAATTCCAGGAGAGATTTGCATGCTTCATTTCCATTGTGGTGAGATGGGTCAAGTCAGGGTGGCTGCTCTGTGCAGGGGAACCAGCTAGCTATGAAAGGCTCTTTGAAAAAGTCAGCTTTTGAGAAAGTTCCTGTTGATGCAAAGTTACTCTACACTTTGTCTTGCACAGCCCAGAGCTACTTCCTCATTCTGCAGCCAATGTCTCTTTAAGGACAATCCGTCCCTTTTGAGCAAAGGTGGAAGAAAAAACATAGGGGAAATGCTTGCCGAGAAGGTAAAGCTACCCACTTTTACCTGAAGTGTTACAATCATTATGGTTAGTAACAGTAACACTAAAGACTATTTCCAGGCAACCAGTTCAGTCATTTCCAGGTCACTGGAGGATCAACACCCCAATCCACCATTGCACATTTCAGTCAAATCATGGGCAGAACGGATTATTTTTCCTCAAGAAATTGAGTCAGAGATCCCTGGTTATTTTCATCGGAGCCCTGCATAATGATTTAGGGACTTGGAGTTGGAGTCCTTTGCGGGTGAGATCGTCCTGTAACCGGTTGCCCCTTCATTGGCTCCTCAGTGTCTGCGGGGAAAGTGCAGACTGTGAACCTGAAGGGCCCAGACGCTAGCCCAAGTCTCGGCAGATTTAACAAAGTGACGTATTTCTTTAACTCTGCTGATTTAAATTCAGTTAAGATGGGATGACTTGAACAGATCGGAAGATATCTGGGAAATCTTACCTAACCCATTTTCATCCCAAGACAGCACTTTAGGGCAATATGTCATCCTGGGATATATTCAGTGAGTAAACAGTTCTTACAATTATATATATTTCTTCAACATATTCAATGAATATTTTTATAATGTATTCATGAAGAATACATTCTAGAACACTTCATTCTCAGAATATAATAATGAAGAATAAACATTTTCTTTTGGCCTCAATCTCTCTATCCCCCAGTCTTTTCTCTGTCTCTTCTCTTCCCTACATTCTGCCTCCTCTTGTTTCTTCCCTTTTGTCCTCCACTCCCTATCCCCCAAAGTCCCCCATTTCTCTCTTCTTCTCTGCTCCAATTGCTCCTTCCACCCTGTCTCCTATTTTTCTCTTCCTCCTCCATTCTCCACCCCCTCAACCTCCCTAACCACTGCTCCATTCTCCTTCTCTCTGCCAGCCTCTCCCTTGTCCACCCCTCCCTCTCCCTCCCTCTCTGCTCCACAGCCTGCTCCTCTCCCCTCCCAACCCCACCAGCCCCATGCCAGCCTCCTCGATGGGCATCCCAGCCGTGCCATGGAGCCATGACTCTCCTCTGTCCTTGCAACAGCAGGGATCTGGGGCAGAGACAGATGAAACCTGCCTTAAAATGCTGATAGAAAATCAAACGAAAACTGGCCAGCCAACACTTGGCTGAAATATTCAAGAGCAAGTTGAGAGCAACCAGTGAAATCGGCCATGTGGTCCGCCCATAACGGGGCTGCTGAGTACAGGCTTTGCGCTCCATTCCCTCTGCAGCACCTGCCCCTCCCCCAAGGAGCTGCATGCCAGCGCCTCTGCCCCACTTTGGGGATCTTGCTTCCTCACTTCCTATAGCCGAAATGCCCTGCCACCCCTCTTGTCCCACTCACCTCACCTTTGAAATCTTACCAAGTCCCAAATGCCATCTCTTAGGGAGCTGTTACATGTCTTTCCACCCACTCCATGTTGTCCCTTCATATTCCATCAAAGGGTTGAACCAGGGCTCAGAACCAGGTCGTTGGCTCCCAGTCTAGGGCTTTTCCCAGTGTGTGGCTACCGGGAACAGCGGGAGAAACCTGAACTGGCACAGACAGGTGTGGGCTGTGATCATGGGCCACAGTTACACAATGGCGTGGCAGCTACCTGATCTCTCTGAGCCTCAGTTTCCTCTGTAAAATGGGAACCATCCACGCAGCCATGCACATGTATTATTGATGGCCAATTATAGGCCGCCCACTGTTGATAGTGTCCATTGTGCTGGATGGACATGAGAATTCAATGTGTCAGGGCAAGTAGACGACAAACTTAGCAGCCACCCTGGCACAGCCACCGAGAGGAAGGAGTAAGGTTGGATCTTCCTACGACCTGACTTTGCTGTTTGATGCTTGCGACGCTGCAGTCTTCTGGGAGGCCCTTCCATCTCTGTGGCTCTCCTGTAGTGGTTCCTGTGGATGCCAAAGCCACAGTCGCCAGACTTCGTGCCTGAAACACTTCCTGAGTTGGGTGGGGCTGAACTCTTCGGACTGTTGTTCACCTCCTGCAGCACTGCGTCTGGAGCCAGGGCCAGCCAGGGGCCAGCCAGACTGCCAGGTGTACCCTCCAACTCTGCCAATGACCCTGGCACGTGGCACATTGAATCCCTGGGAGCTGTTCAGTCTGTCTATCTTGGGTGAGACTCCAAAGCCCTCTGCCAGGCCTACAGGCGGGTGTAGTTACACCACAGGCTTGTTGAAGGGGGACCTTGCTCTCCCCTCCCTCAGAGAAGCTGCTCCATCTTTTCCTTGTCAGTCACGACCCCGCCAGACATGTGGCCTTCCTTCTGAGAACCGCCCAGGCCTGGAGGGCTTTCTGAGCCCCAGCTCCCTTCCCTTAGCACCTGAGGTGCTGGGCTCCTCCCTCCCATGAGAGTTCACTGTGATTCTCATGGCACCTGTTACTGGGGAATGGCTGTCCTCTCCCCTCGCCCCGCCTTCCTGGCATCGACCCCCAGGACGCCTTCGGCCCCTCCAGCCTCTCAGAGCCCCAGAAAAGCCACTTCCCCTGGAGCAGCCACGTTGGCCCAGACTCAGGCCTCACTCAGGCGGACTTCCTGGTGCCTGGCCAGCACCAAACATGCCTCGTGTCCTCCTCACTCAGGGCCCCTCTTCACCTTCACAGCAACTCCCTCAGGGCCCAACTTCTTCCCCCCACATCTCCTTCCAGCTTCTCAATTAGGTGTGTGTAGTCAGGGGACCTCAGAGCAGGGCCCATGCTAACACGTGGCTGCTTGCAGGAAGTGGGGTGGTGCCCTGCCGCCCAGCCCCAGGAGTCAGGGAGGAGGAACTGGGTGGTTCTGATGCACACAGCAGCCAGGGGCCTGTGCCCTTTGCAGACAGAGCCCACTCAGGCACCATGGCATTTGGGTTTCTCAGTGGCCTCGAAAGCTCGGCAGTATCTCCCCTTGAGAGGTGAGGAAACAGCCTCTGGGAGGAAAGCAATTGGCTGAGGCCTGGGGTCAGTCACCTGGCAGCTCCCGAGCCGGCCGTGCTGCCCTGACACCAGGCTCCCCTCGTCCTCCGCACCTCGCTGCCCTCCCCACTCCTGTGGACATTTCTGTCTTGAACTATTCTGTCTCAGCCTCACGAGAGGGCTGAGATCTCTTCAGATCCCCTGGCTGGCAGGGCCCAGAGGGGGCTTCCTGCCCTGGCCCCCTGCTGCCTCAGCTCAGGGGTCCCATGGGCCCTGGGCATCAGACATACTGTGGGGCACAAGGATTCTCTCACCCTGCAGGATGAGGCATTCCGGCATGACAGCTGTGCTCAAACATCTGTTAGGGACCAACAAGTGTCATCTCTCACACGCACCGGGCTCCTTGGTCCCCAGGACCCAGGCTAAGACCGCGGGCCTAGGAGAAGATTCCTGCTTTCTAACCACAAGCGTCTGGCATCCGCCGCAACCACAACATACAAGCTGCTCACTGTGCTCAAAGCCCAGCAGTTCCCTGAAAATAGGCAACTTCTCATTTTACTGATGCGTCCTCTCGGGGACCTGGGGCGGCTGGCAGGAGAGGGATTAAGGATGCCTGGGGGAGCATGCCAGGTGGACACGCTTGCTCTCCACGACTTTGCTAGCACGCTGCGAACTCTGGGTTCTGCGCCGAGGAAAAGGCTCAAGGTTGGTGAAATCGGGTTTGGAAAGTGCCTGAGGAAGGCATGGAGTCCAGGGCTTGGGAAACCTGCCGGTGCTTGAAAGCCGATGCGGTGCTGGAGCCCTGCCTTCCTCCCCAGCCGCCACCAAGAGCGGCAGACACAGGTCACCCCACAGCCGAGGTGGGCGGAGGTGCAGCCCAGCTGCGAAGGGGAAGAGCTAGGGGAAGGCAGGCAGTCTGCAGACATCCCGGCTTGGAAGGCCTCGGAGTGTCTAATCTACTTTTTCTCCTTCTCAGGTTGACTCTTACGAGGTGATTGTGGATGAAGAACTGGGCGACATCCACCTGATCAAGATCGAGAAGCGCAAGTACTGGCTCCATGACGACTGGTACCTGAAGTACATCACGCTGAAGACACCCTACGGGGACTACATGGAGTTCCCCTGCTACCGCTGGATCTCCGGGGAGGGCGAGCTTGTCCTCCGAGACGGGCGAGGTGAGCCGCAGAGCCGGGACCCCTCCTCAGAGGGCGGTGTCGGGGTTAATAGCGCGGGGCTCCCCGGCTGGGACTGCTGGCTGACGGACCGCAGGACGTGTGCACTCCCCCAGGTGCTGAAACTCCAGGCAGCGGAGGCCCAGGCACAGCCAGCCACGTTCTCCCTCCGAGCCTAGTCCCTCAGGGGAAGGCTGTGACCCCTGCCTGTCAGAGGGTAGCTAGGCTCTCCAGTAACCAATGCCGCTGAGGTGCTCCCCTACCTGGGCTGCTCTCCGGGTGTCAGGTCTGTGGCATGGCTTTCAGAGCCCAGCCGCCTAGGCCCGCCCTGCCCTCGTGATGTCACAGCAGGGCCCCCACGGGGCTGAGGGCAGGCCTAATCTGCGCTGGCCAGTTGCTAAACTTGAAGTCCCACTTTTTGCTGAAAGAGAAAAGAACCTAAAATCTGCTCTCTAAAGCCAGACCCGGGAATGTGCAGACCAGCCTCCTCTCAGGAGGCCTCTCCCCAAGAGGCAGGCCGGGGGGTGGAGGGAGCAATGCAGAGAGCAGCCAAGCTGCAGCCTCTGAATGACCCCTTGGGGGGGGGCTCTGCCTCGGTCCCCGGCACTGCTGGGCACCCCAGCTCCCATGCATTTCCCATCACGAGGCCATGGGTTCTTCATGGAGTCCTGCAAAGTAGACAAACCGAGAAGGCTGCTGCCCCCACTTTTTAGCTGAGAAAACCAAGACAAGAAGGAAGTTCTTCTCTACCAAGTGTTCTTGTGGATGTCAGGCCACATCCCATTACTTCTGACATGGAATTTAACTGAAGAAGCCTCCAAGAATATTTCTGAGCAAATGACTGGAGTTAGAAGGATTTTTGTCCCCTGAACTCATAGCAGGAGAAAGGTCACAACATTTACTCTGATGGTGGCCAGGTGTCAGGAGTGTGGCTAGGAAGTGGGGGGGGGGCTGGTCTGCAGGAGCTCAGGACAGAGACTGGGAGGAGGCCCTCGGCCACCTGCCCCACTCCTGAAATGAGAGACGAGATGGCGCTGGAGCCCGCTCAGAGGGAGGAAGGGGAAGCTCAGGCCCACCATGATTATGAGGACAGTAGCCACTGTTCCCGTTCTGGCGCGTCCCTGGTGCCGAGCACTGTGCGGAGTCTGTACTGCGTTCACTCACTAGATCCCCACGCAACCCTAGAAATAGGCATTATCATCTCCACGTCACCTGTGTGGAGCCAAGGCAACTTGCTCCAGGTCACGCAGCTTTCAGGGACAGGGCCCAGGTCCACACTCAAACCCAGGTGTGTCCCTTCTGACGCCCACACTCCCCGACATTGCATACTGTGTGAGCGCTGAACTTCATGCCCAGTCCTCCCTGTGGGCGCCGCAGGGCGCTGGACAGTGTCGGCGCCTGTGTGTTGCATCTTGATTTACACATTTCTGCAAGAAGCGGCCAGTTAGACTTTGAAACATGAGAGCCACGAGTCTCTGCTGCTCTGTGGAGCCACAGGGAAGCTGCAGCCAGCGGCCATTTCTGCTCTGCGCAAGGAGTGCAGGGGGAGTTGGGTGGGTTGCTCTGCAGCGGTTTAAAGAAATCCGACAAGGTACTAGAGCCCCCTTTTCTCCACACCCTCGCTGGCACTTGTTGTTCGATGATTTGTTGATGGCGGCCATTCTGGCAAGGGTGAGGTGATACCTCATGGTTGTTTTAATTTGCATCTCTCTGATGATTAGTAATGCTGAGCATTTCTTCATATGTCTCTTAGGCATTTGTATGTCCTGTTTAGAGAGGTGTCTATTTAGGTCCTCTGCCCATTTCATAATTGGGTTCTTTGTCTTCCTTTTGTTGAGTTGTATGAGTACTCTATATATTTTGAAATTTAGCCCCTTATCTGATGGCAGTTATGCTCTCCCATAGAGTGGGTTCCCTTTTCATTTTGATTGCTGTTTCTTTTGCTGTGCAGAAGCTTTTTATTTGATTTGTGTTCATCTTTTCCTTTATTTCAATGCCTTAGGCATTGTATCAGTGAAAATTCTGCTGAGTATGATGTCTGAAATTTTGTTGCCTACATTTTCTTCTAGGATTATCATAAATTCATTGGTCACATTTAAGTCTTTTATCTATTTTGAGTTTATTCTTGTGTATGGTGTAACTTGGTGGTCTAGCTTCATTATTTTGCATGTAGCTGTCCAATTTTCCTGACACCATTTATTGAAGAGACTGTCTTTACTCCATTGTATGCTCTTGCCATATTTGTCAAATATTAATTGAGCATAATGACTTGGGTCAATTTCTGTGTTCTATGTTCTGTTCCATTGATCTATATGCCTGTTCTTGTGCCAGTACCAGGCTGTTTTGATTACTATGTCTGTGTAATATAACTTGATATCCAGTATTGTGATCCCTCCTACTTGTTCTTCTTTTTCAAGATTGCTGTAGTTATCTGGGGTCTTTTTTGGTTCTATATAAACTTTTGTTCTAGTTCTGTGAAATATGTCGTTGGTATTTTTATGGGGATTGCATTGAATCTGTAGATTACTTTGGGCAGACTGGTGCAGCCACTATGGTAAACAATATGGTGTCACCTCAAAAAATTAAAAATTGAACTGCCATTTGATCCAGGATCCCACTTCTAGGAACATACCTAAGAAGCCTGAAACATCAATCAGAAAGAATATATGTACCCCCATGTTCATAGCAGCACTGTTTACAATTGCTAAGATCTTGAAACAGCCCAAGTGTCCATCAATAGATGAGTGGATAAAAAAGCTGTGGTACATATACACAATGGAGTACTATGCAGCTGTAAGAAAGAAAGATCTCTTATCCTTTGAGATGACATGGAGGAATCTGGAGAGTATTATCCTAGGCGAAACAAGTCAATCAGAGAAAGACAAGTATCACATGATCTCACTTATCTGTGGAATATAATGAACAAAACAAGCTGAGGAACAAAATAGACCCAGAGACATGAAAGTGGGGGTGCAGATTGACAAACCTCAGAAGAGATGGATGTGGGGGGAGGGAAAGAGATAAACCACAGAACTTATACTCAGGTATGCATAAACAAAGACATAGACAATAATGCTGGGGGGGTGGGAGACTGGGAGAAGGGTGTTAATGGGGGAACAAAGGGAAACATCTGTAACAAAAATAAATAAATAAATAAATAAATAAATAAATAAATAAATAAGTAAGTAAGTAAGTAAGTAAGTAAATAATAGAGACACCCGACGAGGAGCACAGAAGAAAGGCAGCACGGCAGCAGGGCCCGGGACTCCTGACAGGGGCAAGGTCCCGGGGGCGAGAGGAAGGTTCGAGCCCCCAGGTGAAAATCTGTAGGCTGGCCAGAGGCGGGCACATGCTGTCCCTGCGGGAGGGAGGCAGTGTCCCTGGCCTGTCCCTGTAAAGCCCAGCGCTAAGCCAGCCCGTGGTCCTCAGGCCCCAGGCGGCAGGGCCACCAGGCAGAAGGAGGAGACACTGACTTCGTGTTTGTAGGAGTGACCAAGAGCGTGAGATTTGAGCTTTGTGCTGAAACGCCACTAGTTAGGTGTGTGACCTTGAGTCAGGTTCAAGGGCAAAGCTGTTCAGCCTGCCTGAGCCCCGTTTAATGAAGGAGGGGAGCTGTCGGGCTTAAGGAAGATGATTCACGCAAGCACTCAGCGTGGGCCAGGAGTCGGCGGGAATCTTGGTACCGGACGTGTTGTCATTGGTCCTCCGGCTCTTCTCACTCTCGTCCCTTCCTCACAGCAAGGCTGTCCCGCGATGACCAGATTTGCGTTCTCAAGCAGCACAGACGCAAAGAACTGGAAACACGGCAGAAACAGTACAGGTGAGTCATGACATGAGACCACGTGGCCATGCCAGCTTCTCCGGTCTGAGGGCTGTGGTGTGAAATGACCTCAGCTTATGACCCAGCACTGCTGGTAAGTGGTGACTGAGGCAGCAGCTGCCTGTGGTCCCCCGGCGCCTGCTGACCACCCTTCAAGCAGAGACGGTAAAGAGCTTTACCGGGAAGACTTGGGAGCAACCACATTGGCATTTAGGAGGAATGGGGCAGCAATGCTTGACTTTACCCCGATGTTCTCCCACCTCCAGCTGTAAGGGGTACCCCTCACTTTTTTGTCTTCTGACAATAATTTGATTATAAAATGATACATAATCTAGAAAAAAAAAATCAAATCTCCAGCTAACAGACTAAGAAAAAAGAGACCACAATTATTAAAATTAGAAATGAGAGAGGTAACATCAATACCAACTCAGAGAAATTAGAATGAACAAAAAGGAACACTGTGAAGAACTGTATACCAACCCATTAGATAACTCAGGTGAACTGAACAAATAGGCAAGTCTGTGGACACGTGAATAGATCAGTGGTTTCCTAGGGCTGGAAGTTGGAGGTGGGGAATGGGGAGTGACCCTCTATGGGTCCAAGGTTTCTATTTGAGATGAAAATATTCCCAAATTAGACTATGGTGATGGATGACTCTGTAACTATACTGAAAACCTTTCAATTGGATAATTTTAAAGGGTGAATTTTATGGTATATAAATTGTATCTCAATAGAACTGTTCTAAAAAAAATTACAAAAATACATGCTGTAGAGTGCTGGTGTGGAATGAGTGGTCAGTGGCCTGGCCCCAGCCCTTGACCGTGTTTGAGGGGTCATGTGGAGCTCTGAGTCCACACCTGCTTCATGTCTGCATCAAGGCCTTTTCTGTTTAGCTTCTTGCTTTAGCCCCTGGAGAAGGAGCCTCCTCCCAGGGAAGGAAGCTGACCGTCGGCATGGGCACCGGGCTGTGGAGGGGCGTGGTGGGATGATAACGGTTACATTTCCACGTGTTCTTCCATAATCTAACTTCTCACGAGGAATGTGTCGTGTTCGGGATTTTTAATCCAATGAAGTAAAAGAGGTAGAATGATATGGAAGCAGGAAAATATCTGTAACTCATTCCCTCTCCCTCTTACTCATTTGGAACTGTGCTATAGATACAATCTGGCAGCCACCTTTTCTTTCTCTTACAGACATAGCAGAACAACATTTCCCCCATATTTTAAAAATCTCATCACAAACATTATTCTAGATTTTATGTAATATTCCATTGGGTGGATGCACCATAATTTACTTAAACACCAGTCTAACTGGACATTTTGGGGGTTTCTAATTCTTATTTTTATAAACAATGTGAAACCTTTGTGTGGAACTTTTATGCATTTTTTTTTTTTTATCCTCACCTGAGGACATTTTTTTTTTTTTTCATTTTTTTGTTCAGATAGAGTGGGAGGGAGAGAGAGGAAGAGAGAGAGAGAGAAACATCGATGTGAAGGGACACATCGAGTGGCTGCCACCCGCACGACCCAACAGGGCAGGGGACAAACTGCAACCGAGAACGTGCCCTTAGCGGGAACCGAACCCGGGTCTCTCTGGACCACAGGTCAATGCTCTAACCGCTGAGCCAAACCAGCCAGGGCCTTTTATGCATTTTTAAGTATTTCCTTAGGATAGGTGCCCAGAAATAAAACTGCCAAAACAAATAGTTTGTTACTAGTATATATTGACAAATTTCTCCTCAAAAATGTTTAACCAATTTTTATAAGCAGTACAGGTATCCAATTTCACCAACTCTTGACAGAGCTAGGTTGCATCTTTTATTTTTTTTAACTTTTCTAGTTTGTAAAGGTGTCTGTCATCTCTTAACTCCTACCCCCTACCCCACCCCCACCCAGGAACTCAGCAGTGGTGCTGCCAAGTGGTTGAGAAACCCCCACCAGTCAGCCAGCCTCCAGACTATCTTCAGCTCTATCCTTTTCCCACACAAACTTACATTTCACCCTGCCTGGCACAGATCGGTGGGTTGGGCGTCCTCCTGGGCACCAAAGGGTTTCAGGTGTGACCCCTGGTCAGGGCACGTGCCCAGGTTGCAGGCTCTGTCCCCCACAGGGGACATGCAGGAGGCGGCTGATTGGCGTTGCACTCTCACACTGACGTTTCTCTCTCTCTCTCTCTCTCTTGCTCTCCCCCCACTTCCTCTCTCTCTAAGAAAAAGAAAATCAATAAAAACATGTTTAAACAACATACTTCCATGAAACATGATGTTAAAAAATACTTGGATACTTGATGTGTTACACAGGGCATGGGCGATGAGCAGAGCCACGGCTACTAGGCAGCCACAACAGGGGACAGGAGAGGAGGAAGAGAAGGAGAAGAAGAAGAAATTGGACTCTACTTCATGTCATTCAGAAAACTTATTTTTGGGTTGAATAGGTTAAGTGTTAAAGGCATTTGATGGCCTCCAGTTAAAAAGATTTTTCAAGGAAGACTTAAAATGTGCTAATTGTAAAGGGAAAGATTAATATTACCTACCTCAAGAGGAGGAACTGTTCACTAAAAGACACCAAAAAGACGAGAAGATAGTTCACAGCATGATGGACAAGAATTATGATTTATACTATTCAGGACCTCTGCAAATCTATAAGAACAGGGTTGTCAATTTGCTAGAAAAATAGGCAAGAGATATGAGCAGTCTCTACACAAAAGATGGGGAGCAAATATACAAAAAAAAGGGCCCTTAGCTTCATTCACAACAAAGGAAATCAGAAATAAGATCTCACAATGACAGTCTATTGATTAGATCACTACTACCACTAATTACACCACACACACACACACACACACACACACCCCAGAAGGGCAAAACTAAAACCTGACAATACCTGAGTGTTAGAGGAGCTGTTGGGTGGGAAGCTCATTGCTGTTGGCAGGAGTATAAGTTGGTACACCCTCTGTGCAAAACAAGTTTGCAAAATCTACCAAACTGAAAGTGCATTATAATCTATGACCCGGAATTTCTGTTCCTGGATCCAAATCCGTGTGCCTGTGCACTGGGATGCACGTACACAGATATTCACAACAGCATTATTTATGAAAGAAAAACAATGGAAACCACCCAGTGTCCATCAGCAGTGGAACAGATCAGCAGTGATCATTCTACCCTGCAAGGAAAGTCAATGAACTGCTGGTGCACAGTGCAACATGGGCAAACTCACACTGCAGTGTGAAGAACAAACAGAAGCCTGACACGAGTCCGGCCAGTTGTCCGGGACACTTGCATAGCAGTGGAACAATGAACTCTCCTCACTTCCCTCCCTTGGCCACTTGTGGCAAAGCCCCTCTGGTGAGCACTCGTACCTGCTTCCAGCATTGTGGACGGAGTCCTAGCCTGTGATGATGGAAACAACTTCCAGAGAACCAGGCTAGCTTGTGTCCTGTTAGGTGAATGGGCAGCAAGTCCTACCAGTCTCACAGCAATTCAGACTGAGATGTTAATGACTTACAGGCATTTACTCAATCTAGTATTTTCTAAAGTGTGTCCTGGAGCATTGGTCCCAAAACTTTTTCTTGGAAAAGGGTCCTATGGTGAAACAAGTCTGGGAAACTGTTTATCATATCCCTCTCCTTTAACACTTGGCGGTTCACAGTGTGCATAAGCATCGGAGATCCTGAGCAGTTCTGTGAAAATGGACCATGGTCAATTGCTTTCTAACGCAGTTTTCCCCAAGAGAATCGGACCCGTGACTTTTACATCCGGCAGAATGAGCGCTGTATGGAGCATCTCTTAGGAAACACCTCTCAGCCAGGGAGAGGGGCTTCAGCTGCGTTTTCACAGGAATGGGGCTTTGGCACGGTCTAAGGAGATGGGGCAGAGGGGTTTTCTGGTGAGATAATTTGCTCCTTTGGTGGATCTAATCTTCATTTTTTCTTCCTCTTTCCGCTAATCTGTCCTTTTCATATCCGCCCCACCCCCAACTCTGCTTCCGTTCAGGAAACACTGAACTTTGCGCCGTCGGCATAATCTTGGCGTTCCTCTTCCCGTGAACTCGGCTTCCAGGGGCCTTGGAAGCAAAGCAGCCACGAGGAGCCGGCCAGGGCAGCTGGCCCCCTGCTCAACCAGCCGGCGGGAGGGGAGGCCGGCAGCGCCTTCTCGCTGGGACCACCTGTGCGCCGTGCGGAGTGGGGTGGTTCTTAATCTATACCATTGAATCTAATCATTCTGAGCCTTACGTCACTCATCTTTCTGATTTAAAGAGCAACCAGTTGACACAGTCGGGTGTCACCCACTCCCTCTGTAGAGCGTGCCATGTTGGGAACAACCCACCGTGCTCGCTCACCCCATGGGTGACTATGGGCTGCTGCAGACTGTGGGCTGTGGTTCACTCTGGCTGCTCCACGCCCACCTCAGTGAGCTCCCCTACATGTCCTGGTGCTCTCATGGAATAGTCATTCCAGAAAATGGTCCTGGAAGGAGACTTGCAGGGTCACAGACCACATTGCTCCAGATATTGCCAATCGTTTTCTAAGGGGGTTCTACCAGCTTTCAGCCCTCGCAGCTGTTTCTGAGGGTTACTGTTTCCCTTCTCCATGGACACATTTCACACCTGCACAATTATCGCTTTGCTCACAGAGCTTAGTTCCTCATTTTCTAAACTATGCGTTTTGTTTTTCCTTTACAGCTTTTGGGTTTCTTGTTTGCACAATTTTCATTCTTATCAATCTGATGTGTGAAATAGTATCTCATTGTTTTCCTTCTCCCTAAAGTGCCACGTGTTTTTAGCTTTGCATGTATGTGTAATGACTTACTCAACCCTTCCCCTCCTGATGGACACCTGCCTTGTTTCCCAGGTGTACCTTTGTTTACTTAGTGTTACAAATGGTGCTGCGAACAGCTGGCTGGCACTTTCCTGGCGGGGGTCCAGGTCTGCATTGCTGCTCAAATCAGCACGCTCACTTTAATGTTTCTCTTTTTATTAAATGTATTGGGGTGACATTGGTCGATCGGAGCATAGATTTCAAGTGCACACTTCTAGGATATGTGATCTATATATTGCACTGTGTGACCCCACCCAAAGCATTTTTTATTTTAAGAAATACTGACAGAAATCTTTTCCCAAAATTTTGTAATAATTTCAGTCCCACCAATTCTCTATGAAAATATACTTTTGCCCACACTTTTGCCAGTACTTGGTGACATGGATCTTTTAAATTTTTGACAACCTAAAAATCCCTGAGACCCCATTGCCATTTTAACCTGCATTCCCCCGAGCACAGGAGGGTTCACCTCTGCCTTCCCCTCAGAACCGCCGACGTGCGTGTTAGGTCGTACCCCTTTGGAGTGTGTACAGCATTATCACTCATCTTCTATCGCTTTGCTCACAGAGCTTAGTTCCTCATTTTCTAAACTATGCGTTTTGTTTTTCCTTTACAGCTTTTGGGTTTCTTGTTTGCTTAAGAAGGCCCTCCCGCCCTGATGTTACAGAAATACTATATTTTTCTCTAAAATTTTATAATTTTGTGTGTCTTTTTTTAACTTTAGGCTTTTTTCCCACCTGCCATGTATTTTTATAAATGATGTGGAGTGGGGTCAAAGGTTTCCAGTATAATTTATCACATCATACAGTCCTTCCTAAGGCCTTGGTCGTGCCCACAGTAGCCAGTTTCTGCTACCTACAGCTACTTACCTTGTGGCCTGTGAAAGTTGTCGAGTCTCTCTCCTGCCCTCGCCAATTATCCAACTCATTGATAAGAAAAATAAGTCTGTAAACACTTTACACTGTATTCCCATTTTTAGTATGTCAAGTAAGAAAACTAATGGTAGTTAGTTTGATTGTTTTTATTCTCCCTGAAGCTTGTAGCTTGGGGGAACATCTCTCCCTTCTCTCTTCCTTCGTCCCCCCTCAACACCCCCTCCCACCACACACACGCTCTCTCCCTCTCTCTTCAACATTTTGAAAATAATCAGTATATATCTAGGTATGCCTTTTTTCTGCCCAGGATTTACTCAGAAAACTGAGAAATGTAAGGTGTCAAGCAACAGAAAATGCTTTCCAAAACTGGGTTTTCTCGGAGAGTGGCCATGGCCAGTCCCTGTTCACCGAGGGTCTGCTGAGGCTTACTCAGGCGACAGACACGAGAAACAGAAGAGGTTTTTGGGACAGGAAAAGGGACTTGAGATTTTTAATGACCAAAAATCTCAATGTTTTATTTTTTTCTTATAAGAGAGATGTAAAAGGAAGGAGACTTGGGAATATAAATGGAAAAGCCGAAATCTCACAGAATGTAAATGTTGGTTTTTAAACAAATTCAAGATCATTCTTCCTGCCCTAAAGAAACTGACAGGGTGTGTTTGGGTTTTTTTTTTTTTTTCTATAAACAAAAAGAAAAGGAAAAAAAACCATAAATGTCCAATGCTATGGGTTACGTTTCAAGGACACCAGAATCTAAAACCTTTGGCTTGATGGAGTGTGTGGCCTGTCTTCGGGACGAGCTACTTTGATGATAACAGTCTCCCAGCCTGCTCGGGGCAGCTGGCGGTGCCAGGCGGGAGTGGGGGCCGCCCCTCTGCCCTGTGCACCCTCCTGCGCGGCCTAACAGTCCTGAACTCCCCGCGACCACTATGGAGCTCAGGGTGCCCGGGCCTCGCTGGTGGGACTTCGATGTCCAGGACGGGATGGTGGGGAGCCTTAACCTCATGTGACCGGCCAGGCAGCTCTGTGCTGGGCAGAACCCCGAGAGGGTTGCTGTTCAGTGTCGCCGCACATAAGTGAGGTCTGATGCTTTCCTTTCCGGTTCCTTGGGCACGTGTGCACACCCGCCGTCCGTCCGCGACGCCGCTGCTGTAAGGTCAGCCTCGGGTGGAGGGAGCCCCAGGCCCCCACCGCAGCGCTCAGGGAACCGCACAGCGGTGCCTCCCGCTGCGCAGCCAGCTGTGACCCGCGGTCCTGGCGGCGGGCACTCCTCAGAGCACAGCGCCGTCTTCACGCCGAGGTACCCACCCCAAGGCATTTACTCCCTTCTCTTTGCGTGTTCAGGTGGACGGAATGGAACCCTGGATTCCCCTTGAGTATCGACGCCAAATGCCACAAAGACTTACCTCGGGACATCCAGTTCGATAGTGAGAAAGGAGTGGACTTCGTTCTGAACTACTCTAAAGCGTAAGCCGGGGAGAACGTAAGGACACTGGGCAGCTCCTCCGATGGCCAGGGCTGCAGGTCTGACCTCCACTCCTGTCCTGTGGGACCCTGGGCTCAGAGACAGCTCAGCAATGCTTTTGGTTATATCTCGGTCATAGAGGATTCTCAATGCACAATCCCAGGATAGTCTGTGTGTAAAACACTACAACCTGGAAGAGTCCAGACACCAAACATAGCTATGTTTCAGCCCCAAGTGGAGGTCTTTAATTAGAATGCCTGGTTCCCACCCATGTCATATTCCCTCTACGGCCACCTCAAGGGGAATCGGTATTCAGGGGGGCACCCAGATGGCAAGGTTCTGCAGTAATAGGAGCCACCATGTCTGTGCAGACCCCTGCACACATCCCCTGTCCCCATTCATTCATCACAACAACCCGAAGAAGTGGGCACAGTCATTATCCCATTGCAGCTGAGGAAACTGCAGAATAAGAAAGTCAGATGCCCAAGATCCCTGCCAGTACACGGCAGAGACCAGAGTTCTGTGTTTCCTCTTTGAGGCTGAATCTGCAGGGTTTTTAAAGCTTGCTGAACTTTGCCACTCCTGGGTGCTTGTTAAAAATAAGGAGCCCCGGCCCCTGCCCCAGGGCTAGTGGAAGGACCTTTGAATCTGTACCTTGACACTTTAGATAATTCTCATAATTATGGAAATGCAGAAAACCCTAAATCCTTGTTTTGCAACTGGACCACGCCTTAGAATGCCCGGAGGAGCCCAGCACCTCCCCAGACCCCGGCCAGGAGCCGAGGCCCCTAGGGTGGGACCCTGGCCCCAGGTGGGCATATCCAGGAAGCATACAGGTGGAGAACCACCAACCCAATCAGTTTCCTTGGCAACATGTGCTTAGTTGCATAGCTGCACCCCTCGAGAGGGGTGCCTTGTTTGGTCAGACTTCTGAAAGGAAAGTGCAGGAGGCCACACGCCCAGGCCTGTGCCGGGGGCTTCCTCCTTTGCACATTTTGGAAAAGCTTCCTCCTTGGTGCGCATACACACACACACACACACACACACACACACAGCCTCAGTCATTCTCTGCAGGGAATCCCTCACATCAGGACCATATGCATTTGTCTCTGAAAGTGAAAGTGGGGGAGTAGTAAGGGTCTGACTGAACAAGCCTCTGCTAAATGCTGGGCTCCAAGGCGCAGGAGCTTTCTACATAGAATCATCTATTTCATCCTTCACAGCAACCCTGGGAACTGGGCACCGTGTTTCCAGATAAGTGAACTGAGGTTCTTCTGGGTCCAGGTCAAAGAATTTGCTTAAAACTATTTAGGCAGAAATTGGCAAAACCAGGATTTGAATCCAGGTCTATTTGGGCCCAAAGCTGGGGATTCCCCTCACCACCACCACTACAGCTGGGCTCAACTAGAGGGAAAAATGAAAACCAAACATCTAGGTTAGTAATGCAGCAGCTCCCTGGAAACATCATGGCAATTGAATGTCTCACTTCCCACCAGGGGTTGGCAGTACTGAGTCAAAGCCTTGTGGCTTTAGTAGGGCAGAACCCAGACCAGGACAGGACAAGGAGAATAGGCCCTTGTGGCAGGAGAAGTTTGGAGAGAACTTGGTGAACTTGGAGAGGCAGTGAGTTCAGAGGAGAGGGTACTGCTTTGAAGAGTCATGCCACCTTGCTTGGTACTGGTAGGGGGTAGATGGGTGGATGGAGGGTGGATAGATTGTGAAGGGTGGCTGCAGGGTGGAGGAATGGATGGTGGGTGGGTAGATTCATGGATGGTGGAGAGATGGAAGGATGAATGAATGGATGTTGGAAGGAGGATGGATGGATGGATGGATGGATGGATGGATGGATGGATGGATGGATAATGAATGGTACAATGAAGACCAAGCTGTGCCTTTCTTGTGTCTGCTCCATGTTCCTTAAGGTCAAGGTCATCTTTGTATTTCAGGAGCCTAGCATAGCAGCTACCACAAACTAGGTGCTAAATAACCTTGGTCAAAATGAAATAAGTGTGGCCCTGGCCGGTTTGGCTCAGCGGTTAGAGCGTCGGCCTGCGGTACAGAGAGACCCGGGTTCGGTTCCCGCTAAGGGCATGTACCTCGGTTGCAGTTTGTCCCCGGCCCTGGTTGGTCGTGCGGGTGGCAGCCACTCGATGTGTCCCTTCGCATCGATGTTTCTCTCTCTCTCTCTTCCTCTCTCTCCCTCCCGCTCTATCTGAACAAAAAATGGAAAAATGTCCTCGGGTGAGGATTAAAAAAAAAAAAAAAAGAAATAAGTGTGACCCACTGGCCTTTCAGGGGCCTTTGTTGCCACCTCAAAGACCTTCATTTCACACACATACACACATGCATATGCACACACACACACAGTTACTTTTTTTTCCTCATGTATCCCCATCATGTCTAATGGTAGCCAAGATCAGTGGTTCTCAATTCTGATTGTGTATTTAATATTACAGACCCCATGTCACCCCCCCCACCCCACCTAGATCTGCCAGCATCTCCAATTCCAGACATGCATATACTTTATTTATTTATTTTTGCTCACACTTTATTAAATATTTTATTTAATTTTATTGCAGCAAATAATATCGTTTCAGTATTTCTTAACATCCCAATTATACATCCTTGCAAATGTTACCAGTTATATGAATAGATAAAAGTTAGATTACAAAATTTAAATTTCCATTTTACATACTTGACAATTTTTATTTTTTATTTTAATTTTAATTTTTTTGGTAATTCAACACAATTTATTAAGTGTTGAGGAGAAGACACTTTTCTACCTTTTCCCTTCTGCTTTTTTAAATTGAATTTGTTGAGGTGACATTGGTTTACCAAACCACACAGAATTCAAGTGTACAACTCAATAAATCATCTGCACACTGCATTGTGTACCCACCGCACCAAAGTCTTTTTCTGTCCCCATTTCCCCCCATCCTTTGCCCACCTCCACCTACCCCCACCCCTTTCCTTCTGACTATCACCACACTGTTGTCTGTCTATATGTTATGTATATATGTCTTTTGTCTAATCCCTTTGCCTTCTTTCATCCAGTCTCCTAAGCTCTTCTCTCTAACAGCTGTCAGTCTGTTCCATGTATCCATGTCTCTGGACCTATTTTCTTCATCAGTTTATTTTGTTTATTAGATGCCACATATAAGTGAGATTGTGTGGTATTTGTCTTTCTATGACTGGCTTATTTCACTTAGCATAATAATCTGTAGGTCCATCCATGCTGCTACAAAAGTTACGATTTCTTTTTTACAGTTGCATAGTATTCTACTGTGTAAATGTACCACATTGTTTTTATCTACTCATCTATTGATGGACACTTGGGCTGTTTCCAGATCTTGGCTATTGTAAATAGTGCTGCAATGAATATAGGGATGCATATATTCTTTTGAATTAGTGTTTCAGGGTTCTTAGGATATATTCCCAGAAATGGGATTGCTGGGTCAAAAGGCAGTTCCATTTTTAATATTTAAAGAAACTCCATACTATTTTCCACAGTGGCTGCACCAGTCTGCATTCCCACCGATAGTGCACCAGAGTTCCCTTTTCTCCACATCCTCGCCAGCACTTGTTTGTTGATTTATTGATGATAGCTGTTCTGGCAGGTGTGAAGTGATACCTCATTATGGTTTTAATTTGTATCTCTCTGATGACTAGTGATGAGCAATTTTTCACATGTCTGTTGGCCATCTGTATGTCCACTTTGGAGAATTGTCTAGTCAGGTCCTTTGCCCATGTTTTAATTGGATTGTTTGACTTCTTGGTGTTGAGTTGTATAAGTTTTTATATGTTTGGAAATTAACCCCCTATCAGATGTATCATTGGCAAGTATGTTTTCCCATTCAGTGGGTTCTCTTTTCATTTTGTTGATAGTTTCTTTTGCTTTGCAAAAGCTTTTCAGTTTCACGCCTATGTTTTCTTCTACATTTTTTGTGGTTTTGTGACCTACATTTAAGCCTTTTGTCCATTCTGAGTTTATTCTTGTGCATGGTGTAAGTTGGTTATCTAGTTTTATTTTTTTGCATGTAGCTGTCCAATTGTCCCAACACCATTTATTGAAGAAACTGTGTACTCCATTGTATGCTCTTGCCTCCTTTGTCAATATTAATTGAGCATAAAGGTGTGGGTTAACTTCTGGGTTCTCTGGGTTCTGTTTCATTGATCTATATGCCTGTTCTTGTGTCAGTGCCAGTGCCAGGCTGTTTTGATTACAGTGGCCTTGTAGTGTAGTTTGATATCAGGTAGTACGATACCTCCAATCTTCTTCTTTCTCAAGATTGCTGAGACTACTCAGACTTTTTTGGTTCCTTATAGATTTTTGGAATATTTGTTCTAGATCTATAAAATATGTCATTGGTATTTTAATAGGAATTGTGTTAAATCTATACATTTGACTTATGTTAATTATTCCAATCCGTGAACAAGGTATATGCTTCCACTTTTTTATATCTTTCTTTGTTTCTTCAGTGTCCTATAGTTTTCCAAATATAAGTATTTTATCTCTTTGCTTAAATTTATTCCTAGGTACCTTATTTGTTGTTGCAGTGGTAAATGTGATTGTTTTCTTAGTTTCTATAATAGTATATAAAAATGCCACCTGTTTTAGAGTATTAATTTTGTATCCTGCTACTTTGCTGAATTCATTTATTAGACCTATTAGTTTTTTGGTAGAGTCTTCAGGGTTTACTATGTACAATATCATGTCATCTGTAAAAAAAAAAAAAAAAAATGAGTTTTACTTTCTCACTTACAATTCGATGTCCTTTATTTCTTCTTCTTGTCTGATCACTATAGCTAGTATTTCCAGTTCTGTGTTGAATAAGAGTGATGAAAGCAGATGTCCCTGTCTTTTTTCTGATCTTAAAGGGAAACAACTTAGTTTTTGCCCATTGAGTAGCATGTTGGTTGTAGTTTTGTCATATATGGCCTTTATTATGTTGAGGTATAATCCCTCTATTTCCACTTTGCTGAGAGTTTTTATCATAAATGA